CATTCTGGGGTGGTGCCTGACATGTCCTGAGCCTGCCAAGCCTCAGCTCCCACAGCCCCAGGAAGGTGGACCCTGGCTGGGCCCGCAGCCCCAATCCAGCACCCCCCCACCTCACAACCAAGCCCAGCCTCCTCTGTACATACTGCCCCGTTTTGTACGTGCTGTATATGAACTGGTTTGTACGCCCCACGCTCGGCGCTGTACGTGCCTGGGAATAAACACACTCTTTGCAGAACTTCCCAGGGGCCGCGGCTGCTGGACTGGGGTGGGGTGGGGGTATCATGGGGTCCAGGCATGGGGAAGCTGGGTAGGGTGGAAGGATAGGAGCTTGGGTCCGTTTGCACCAGCTGGGGAGGCCTCGACACCGCGCTTGGAGCTGTACATGCCTGGGGGGTGAAGCAATGGGGTGAATGGACAGACCCCCCCCCCAACCTCACTTGCTGAAGAGACTGAGGACAAATTCACCTCTGGCTCTACCAGCGCCAGCTGTGTCTCCCACTGCCAAGCGCGGTCTTGTGACCTCTCTCACCTGGGCTGAATTTGGTCCTAGGAGCAAAGCTGGTCACCCCCAGCGACACAACGGGTAACGGCAGCATTAGTCAGCTAGAACTGGGTGGCCAAATTAAAGGAGCAACTCTGGGACAAACCATATTGAAAGTATATACTAATAATAGCTCCTATGCTAGCCATCGCTTTTATACAAAAAAATATTGAAAGATTATTTTAATAAATAATACATAATAAATTTTAATTAAACAATTTTAATAACTGGTCTTTAGGCTCCGAACACGCGTGAAATTGCCTGTTCAGTTCACATTCAATTCAATCGAGCCCAAAGTGAACACCAGGATGTTTTATTTTCCCCTGTACAAACACGGCCCAGGGGAAAACCCGGTACGTATCGGGCGTATTTCACGTTGCTTTCAAAAACCAAGCAGACAACAGCCCCCAGAACGAAAAGGTTCAGTTAAACCCCAAACAGGACGTGTGTGAATACAGTTAAAGGCACTGTGGTTCCCTCACTATTATTTTTAACAGTTCTGCCCTTAAAACTCCTCTCCTTCCAGATACGCAGCATCTAAATAGCCAAGGGAAACGAGAAGTTCCCTTTCCACTCATTAGAAACGCGGTGTTGTCTCCGCCTCCTGAACCAGAGCTCTTGCTGTAGCACGTCACGGACAGCCTCTGATGCTGGCACTCTTCCTCCTCCTGCCAAATGATCCTTTAATCAAAAAACCAGAAACAGGAAAAACTTCCAAACCCTTTGTTGGGTTTAAAGCATAACATGAAGTTAAAGAGCCTACAAAACGTGTGTGAAGCCCTTTGGAAAACTGCCTCTGTTCTTGCTATAACTTCTAACGTCATTCGTGGTTTGTGTGACTCCAATCCAACAGGTGTTAGCGGCGCAGCCCTAAAAGCTGGCTATTGGTTTTGGTCCTCTTTGCTTTCACTTCAGTTCAAGGCATGTTGCTTTATCGTGTGGAAGACCCAGTCCATTTTTGTCGTCCAGCCGCCGTAGTGAGCATCGTTCATCTGTTTTGTGAAATAGTCCAGAGCTTCCTGCTCAGTTCTGTCCAAGGCGAGCGTCTTTCGAACGTAGGCAATGTCATCAAAAGACTGCAATTCCGGTATGCCCGAGCCGAGCATCATGGAGAAGAGATTGATGAAGAGATTGGCCCGCTGCCGAATTGCTAAGTAAGCTTTATAGCACATCTCTTGAAACCTTTCAAACTCCCGCGTTTTGGTACAGTCTTGGTTTCCTTTACTAATCACGAGTAAGAAATCTTGTGTGAGGACGAACGGCACACGCTCTCGCTTGTAGCCAAATTTTTTCTTCTTGTGATCCAGGAAGTGCCCAAAATCAATGTGAAACAGCTGCCCGTCATCCTTCACCATGATGTTGCTATTGTGACGGTCACCAATGCCCAGTATGAAGGTAGCGACGCAATAGCCGGCGCAGGAGCACGTGAACAAGTCGATCGCTGCGTCGTACGCTGCTCCTTGGTTCTTGTCTTTGAGCCACTGATGTAGCGTGTGGCTGCTGAACTGCAGCGCGCCCTTTAGGCCTCCTTTGCACTGAATCTGCATGATTGTATGGGAGTTTCTGACCACCTCAATAAGGCCCACGCGGTCGCCGATAGACAAACAGCCATAAGGCAGCATCCGAAGATCAAGACCTTCCTTTTGCCAGATGTTTTCCATAATTCGAATAACCTGAAGCGTTAGCATGTCCTGACGTAAGTCATCCCCGTTTTTAAAGATGATCTCATTGTTCTGAAACAACAGTTCAGCCATAATATCTGGGTTGTCCCAGTTTAGCCAGAGAGGCCTTCTTGCAGAGGACATAACCCTGCACTCCTCGAGCCTGAGGTTCCCTAGCCGAAGAGCAGGGTTAAGAGGAGAGATAAAATCTTGCAAAGCTTCCATGAAATCTGGTCGCCTCACGTGTTCAACGAGAAACTTCATTTGTGCCTTCGGTGCTTCATCTTTCTTCTCCTGCTTGAGAATATCAGTAAGGTGAGTTAGTTTCTCCATGGCTTCCACCTGCCTGCGCAGGTGCTTTAGGTACATCCCGCATGCGCGACAGTAGGACTCCAAAAGCAGTCCAAATCTCTGCCTCACACTTGTATTGTGCATTTCAGACTTTAAATGCCAAAAGAAAAAATGTCCTATTGTTTGATTGGTCAGTGCTTTCTGGAGCAAAAATCTCCCCAGCAGATTATCTAAGTATTGCTCGTATTTCAGAACCTGTACCAGCTGGATTAAGTACTGAGACAGCTGGTCATCGGTCAAGCACTTCTCCAAACACTGAATGGCAAACGATCGCACCACGGGATCGGGATAATTACAGTCCAAAAGCTCCATTGCCTGTTCTGCCTTGATTAGGGGCCAGTCTTTTATCAGGCAGTACATCTGGGCTACTTCATCTCTCGAGTTCCATTTCACGGACAAAAGCAGCTTGGGCAGAATTTCTGGGGTGTTTCCGCAACTATATCTGTGGCTCCAAAGAAAGTCCTTCTCTTGCTCAGTGATTTCGGAAAGCGGGTCTCTTGTGCTAATTGCACGGAGTTGTTCTTTGTCGCTTTCTCTTACTTCAAAACCTTTAGCTAGCCTGTTAGTCAGCTCCATACGGCTGTAGTTACACCCGAGTTCCAGAGAGACAGCCCTGCTGGCATGGTCTTCAATCACCGTCATGTCTGGAAACTTGACAGGACCGCCAAAACTATCAAACTCCAGCTCTAGACACGGAGTTTCCTTGCTTGGATTGGACCCAGTCATGCCGATAGGATTCAGCAGATCTTCCAGCCCATGTGGTACTGGCCACAGGCTCAAAGCCATTTTCCCCGATACGAGAGTGTGCGTGTAATCAAACATGTTCACGTTTCCCCAAGCCAGTGGGCAATGTTCCTCTTTCGCACCCCTCCTGCCCTTGACAGAGCAGAGGGAGAGGCAAAGGCGAGCAGCACGGGGGAGATCAGGAACGTACAGGTCATACGACAGCCATTCGTCCCATCTCGGACGGCAACAAGGCACCCTTCGAGTTTTCACATTGTCGCATAACGGTTCACCCCCGTGATAGATACCCGTTCGGACGTATATCTTGTCTGCGTCTCGTGTATTTACGTTGACGTACGTGGCACAGAAGATTCTTATTCTGAGAGCACTGTTTATAGACCAGAGGGATTTGGCTGAAGCTTCTGCATTCGTGCACGGGGTAGGCGTAGAAACACCTCTGGGACAAGATGGGACGGTAAAGCTATCCGACGGCAGCTGGGCATACAGGCTTTCTTTGGACATCAGCATCAGGTTGGGCACGAGGCCAACCATGATGCAGTTTCTGATGTGCTTATACTGGCTGAGAGGATACCTTTCTAGCAAGTATTCATCACAGCCGCACACTTTTAAAACATACTTATCCTGGTACTCCAAGACACGGCGTTTCAGTTGCTCAGGTGCCAGCGACGCGCTTCGTGTTTGCGCCCTGACTGCTCCGGCGATCGCGTGCTCGGGCACGCAGTCGTGGCTGATTTTTAAGGGGTATTCCTGCTTGTTATTCAGGGAGGCTACGACCCATATGGCCACTACCATTTGCCCTTCGTCTAGCTTGTCGTACAGGGGCTGGGGCAGCTCAGGCGAAGCGTGGACGCGGGGAGGCCAAGTGTACAAAGCCCGGCTGCGAGGCGCGTCGGCCCCTCGCCGCTCGGCGGCCTCCCGGCAGACGTTCAGGACATTCCTGCGGAAGTCCCGCACTTCCGGGTCCCTCGACGCCTCCAGCTCGCGGACGGGCGTGCCGACGGCCAGCCCGCTCTCCCGGGTCAAG